TTTTAGAATTTCATTAACTGCAAGGATGAATTCCAAATAACTCTATGTTATGCTGAGTTTTCTCACTAGCAAAGTACATTAAGTTTATGGGGGAAATGTTCGAAAAGTCAAGACTTAAGAAGGGTAAAAGGAAAGTAAAAGAATTATGAAACCAAGTAACTAATGATAAATCTCAACTCATAAGAGCTCGGAAATTACCTTTTATGGGATCACCTATGTAACTAATTCTAAAAGTGACATACGGAGGGGAGAGAGGATAATGGAGAATGATGGAGAGGGTGAATTCAACTATGATATATTTGATATATTGTAAGAACTTTTGTAAATGTCCACAATGTACCTCCTGCACAACAATAATTTTTAAAAACTTTAAAAATTAAAAGAAAATAAAAAAGTGACATATGAAATAATTCCAATATTTTCACTCCTTATGTTTCTTTCTACCCTTCCTTCATAAAAGTTATCTAACCAGGCTAGACTTCAACACCGGCCCTTATTTTTCATAAGCCTGTGACTGGAAACTAAAAAAACAAATTTCTATTTCAATTTCAATTAAAGAGTAAGTTCTAACTCTATTATCAGGCATTTGCATATTTGAAACTTCAGAAAAGGAAAAGTTCACCTCAATCTAGAAGAATTAATATAATAGCTATGATATGCATTAGCCAAACTCAGTAAAACTGGCGTGGACTTTGTGAATTATCCCATTAGAGGAGTGAATTACTAACTCCCGGTCGGTTAAGAGTGAAGGAACTTTACCTGGCTCGGAGGTCAGCCACTTGATCAGTCATCTGCCCTAGCATTTTGCAGGTTCCCAGGATCTCCCTGCGTTCCTTGCCTGCACAAAGTTCGCCAACTTTTCCAGCTTCATCTAAGATCTGCCTGATGGCCTGCTCACCAGCATCCCCTGAAATAGAGAGCTATTCAATATCTACATTGAAGAAACATTAATTATTTAGAAAGGATACTTTACAAGTCATTTCATTCATGAAGGAAATAGATAACTTTAAATCACAAGTGAATAGAAGGCAATCCATCTGATAGCTAACATCTAAGCAGTGTCCTTAACACCACACAGTGAAGTTTTAACCACAGACACTGCTAGAAAAGATACTTGGAACCATATCTACTTGAACATACTAAGAAGCTGTGGTAAGAATATGGATGATGAAAATAGACTATAACCATTTAATAGTACTTAGTACCTCCAACCTCCATTAGGCTTTTCAAATTCATTCAAATATTAATCTAAAACTGAATAAATATTAAATTAGAAAATCCATAAAGCAAAGTTCAATAACCTATTTGGGTCTTATCTTTATATAGTCATCTTTGTTTCCCAACTCTTATTGGCATCACCATTTAATCTGCTTAATTGAGTACTTTATTGCCATAAATGGAAGTCTGCCCAATAGGAACTAGAAGAGAAGAGCTTTTATTCAAAGTAATTACCTTTCTGATTCAGCAAATGGGTGAACCAATAATTTTGCAAAAAATGCCCAGTTCAGCTTGGTTTATTCCTCCATAATGAGAGGTGATACAGTCTGTGCCCTTCACTTTTAAAGCTTCAGTTAGTCAAAGCTGTCAGAGGATGGTGTCTGCTCAAAATGTTATAGAAGTTATCTCAGGATTATGAAATTAAAGGAGGAGTCCTTCCTTTCCTTCATTTGCTTAGATTTTGGCTTTTTGTTTTGCAGGTCAGAAAAGGCAGAACTATAGTGTTACCTGGGGAGGCACTGGGGTCACGGAGCCAACCTTTGGCCTGGTTCAGTTTGGAGTCTATAGAGGCCAATGCTCTCTTCATGGCTTCAGTGTCCTTTTGAAGAGAAATCCCACAATTACTATCTTTGCAAAAATTGAGAGACCATGATACAAAGTAGACAGAGAAATAGTTAGAGCACTAACATACAATAGCTAAGATAATCCTACAATGGCCTTAAAAATAATCTCATCACACCACAATTCTTATTTCTGTCAAAATGCAGCATCTTGCATGCAAAATCCTCAGTTAATTGGATTCTGTTTCCTGGTGTCTCTATTGCTGAAACTGTGAAAACTGGTAAAATTGCTCAAGCCAAAAGATGTTTAATGTCTTCAGCAGGAAAAAGCACTGTTGTCACATGCCTCATTATCAGCCTTTCTACTAGTCAACATCCGTATACTACAGCCTTGCCACAGCCCTCCTGCTTCAGAAAAGTCTCATTAGTATGTGACTAATCCCTTGGTTCTTTTATATCTTGTTTTCAAATACATATTCACACTGGATGATATTTCACTAAATATTTAATTAATCTGAAAAACCTGAAATTACTGGTTGGAAAAAGAAAAGGAAGATGTTAACACAGCAGTTTTGTTGCAATTCTTCAAATGAACCACTAAATGTTACACATGAAGATAGCGTTTTTCTGCCCTTCCCTAGTACTCCTCATCCTTAATTCCCTTATCAGCCCCATCATGGAAGAGGGGGCAGGGTACAATAAATGGGACTTGATATATTGTTTACAACCAGGGTACATGATGATAAGCACAAAACTAGCAAAAAAAAAAAACTTCCAAGATATAGTTGATAGACAACACACTAATCTCTTTAAAAATATATGTATACTTTAACAATATTTTTGGTGGTACTGGATTTTGAACTCAGGGCCTTGCTCTTGGTAGGCAAGAGCTAATACAATTTGAACCATATTCCCAAACCAATAATTTTTTTTAATACAGGAGAAATGCAGAGGACAGGCTAGGAATGTTGGTACAAATCTGTGATCCCAGCTACTCAGCAGACAAAGCCATGAGGATCATGATTCCAGGCCAGTCCAGGCAAAAAAAAAAAGTTACTGAGACCCTATCTCAAAAACAAGCCAGTTGAGTTGTGTACACCTATAATCCTAGCTACTTGGGAGGCAGAAATAGGAGGATTGCAGTTCCAGACCAGCCTGGGCAAAGTTAGCAAGAGTCCGTGTCTGAGAAACAAACTAAAAGCAAAAGGACTTGGGGGGGTGGGGCCGGGGCTGGCGTGTGGCTCAAGTGCTAGTGTGAGGCCCTGAGTTCAATTCTACCATCTCTTAAGTCTGTATTTAACATTTTAAAAGACAGTTGTTCCAGGAAATTGACTCTCATAGAATCAATCCATTAAAGTACAGAGTTAAACTCTAACATCCTAGACAATTTCCTGTCTCCAATCCTGCAGAACTGGGATTTTCTTCAAGGTATTGTACCATCAGTTTTCCACATGGGGGCAGTAGGAGTATTCCTACTTCCAATTCAAAGAGCTGCCACTAGCACAAATAACACTGGCAGCATTCAGTCAGGCCTAAGGTCAGCAGCCCTGACCCCAGCTTTTCTAAAGTACTTATTGAAATGGTAGGATCTCAGCTTTAGGATTCCCTCCTTCCCATCTAAACAGATTGAGGGTTCTCCTGTTCTAACCTTAATTCTCAGCCACAACAACAAAAATGAAGTGAACTAGGGCTAGGGGTGTGGCACAAACAGAACACTTGTCTAGCACACATAAGATCCTGGGTTCAATCTCCAACACCACAAAAAAATGACTTCTACTCCTCCTAAAAATAATAATATAATAAAAGTGAACTAAATTACTGAGAAAATGGTAACAAAATATTCTTATTATCAAATTATATGGAATTATGGTGGCTATCAATGAAAGGCAGCCTGAGATCTATTTCAAAGTCTGTCTCTAACTAGTAAAATGAGTATTTTTATTTTATTTTGTGGTACTGGGGCCTGAACTCAGGGCCTTGTGCCAGCTAGGGAGGCGCTCTACCGCTTGAGCCACATCCCCAGCCCTTTTTGCTTTAGTTAAATTTCAAATAGGGTCTCTTATTTAAGCCTGGGCTTTCTGCATAGCTGGGATGACAGGCATGTGCCACCATGTCCAACTTTTTATTGGTTGAGATAAGGGTCTCCCTAACTTTTGCCCAGGCTGGTCTTGAATCAAGATCTTCCTCAGCTCCACCTCCTGAGTAGCTGGGATTACAGATGTGAGCTACCTCAACTAGCTAAAAAGTATTTTTTTTAAGTGCTCTGATTCTCACATGATTTAAATCTCTATCTCTTTACCTTATTTTATATCAACTTTTGCAGCATATCTTACCTCCAAAAATAATGCAAAGCTTAATTCCAAATTAGCGAGGCCCAAATAAGTATCTTTTAAAAAGAAAATCTCAGGCAACTCTTAACCTCAAGGGGGTGAAAAACAAAAGCCTTCAGGGTTTAACACAAGTTATAAGGTCTAAATACAGAGTTTTGTTTTTTTTTTTTAATTTCACAATTTCTTACTTAGGAAGTATGTGCATATACCCTGGAGAAGAGGAATTATGGCAATGTAAAAATATTTCATTTAAAATCTGCTAGTAACAATGTCCTTACCACACTTTTATTTTTAATGAGAAAAACAAGATAGTTATTGCAGTTCAAAAATATACATTCAAAGGAAAAGGAAAGTCAAAAATATTTCCTGGCTTTCAAGCAATAAAGGCTATTTCTTAGGAAGCTGAGAATTTCTTGCAAGTGAGCTTCTGTTTTAGACACTTTTCTCCATTCAATTATATCAGTGAATCTCAAATTAAATGTAATCTCATATTACAAATTAGGAACAGAGAATCACTCCTAGAAATCATTTGATCTGAGTCTTTCTGACTCCAAACCTCATTATTTTATATCAGATAAAATTTAAGAATTTTTCTCTTTTACCAAAGAGAACTGCCAAAGATGTCATAAACCTTCTACAACTGTCGGCAAATCTCTGCCTTGTCAATTTCAGCTTTACCTAATACTGCCCAGAAAAAAAAGCTCTAAAATCAAACTCATAATATCCACCAACATAAATGACTGGTTTTATTTTCCAATGCCCTAAAATGATTTGAAACGACACTGGGAAAAAAGTTTTACTCTATACAGCATCCTCAAAAATCATTTCTTTTTTTTTCTCCCTAATACAGAGCAAACAGCCCTTTACTATAAGGAAAGTACATGATTCTCAGAAAAGTGAGTCATTTACTTCTGAGTGAGTGATCTGACAATACCAAGAAGTTAACATTTAGAAATGCTCATTTTCCCTTAACCTGAATCAATGGTAAATTTGGAATGAAGTTGCACTTTTAAAACTGAAAGTTTCAATTTGGTGCCAGGTTTGGCGGGTTTTTTTTTTTTCTTTTTTTTTTTTTTCCTTTACTTTTTGATGGTACTGGGATTTGAACTCAGGGTTTGCACTTGCTACCTCAAACCTCAACCCTCCAGACTTCCCCTTCCCAGGTAGCTAGGATTATAGGCTTGAGCCATTTCACCCAGTTAATTATCAGTTTTTAATACTTGAATTTTAGACAATTTTGGAGATTTAAAACCATCACTGAAAGAACCACCTCAATTTTTTTCTGGAGCATAACAGGTGATAACCATTTAAACAATACAGTTAAATATCATGTACATTAAAAAAAAGTGTGAATGAGAACAAATATTTTAGTCTAAGAATTTCATATTATGTCTTTGAAAAGCAGTATATATGATGGAATTGACAAAATTCCATTATAAACAACATAAGGATACTAACATTGGATACGATACAAACAGATTCACCAAACACTAGGATTAGAAGTTAATTTGAATATATTTATAAAGGATAAAAATAATTATAATCCAATATTATCAGCCACACTGTGTACCTCAAAGCATTTTGTTAAATTTTGTCATGTAAGTGTAAGTACTCAAAGTACAGTCCAGGAATGAAATGGAAAATGGTACACCTTCACTTCACTACTCTTCTCCATAAAAACTCAAATTCAGGAAAAGAGAAAAGTCTGCACCTGTTTTGGGTTGGTTTTTTGTTTGGCTGGTTTTGGGGGTTTTTTTAAGAGTAAGTGTAACTGGACATAGTGTACATGCCTATAATTCCAACACTTGTTAGCTTAGGCAGGAGGATCCTGAGTTCTAGCCTAGCTGGGCTATTTATTTAGCAAGATCCTATCTGATAAAAACAAAGAGTGAGTGCAAAAGACCAGATCTAGTCATGTAGTCTTTGAAATAGCTGTCATTTATCTGATTGTCTCCCCTGATAGTCTCTTTTATCATAAAACTTATTAGATCAAGTTTTAAATGAATAAGCACAGTGCCTTAGCACTTTTCCACATACTAAAAGGTGGAAGGACATCCTAAAAGGACCTTTTTTTAAGCTGGGCATGGTAGTATAAGCCAATAATCCCAGCTATATGGGAGACAGAAATGGGAGGATCAGGGTTTAAGGCCAACCCAGGCAAAAAAAAAAGGGAGACCTTATTTTAAAAAAACAAAACAAGCCAGTGACAGTGCCTATAATCCTAGCTATGTGGGAAACAGGTAGGAGAATGGAGCTGAGGCCAGCTCCAGACAAAAGCTCAAGACTGTCTGAAAAATAAAGTCAAAAGGGGTTGGAAGTGTGGCTCAAGTGATAGAACATTTGCCTAGTAAGTGTGTTCAAAACCCCATAACCATTACTACAAAAAAAAAAAAAAAAGTTTTCCCAGGAACTAACACACTCCTAAAATTTAATATGTTGGACCTCAAGAACACTTGTGAATACTAGCTCCTCCTATAGACAGTCAAGAGGAACTACTGTTAGAACAGTGAAGTCCTACAATTCCAGTACTGTGTGTGTGTGTGTGTGTGTGTGTGTGTGTGAAGGATTTTTTTGAGATTAGGGTCTTGTGAACTATTTGCCCGGAATGGCTTCAAATCATGATCCTCCTGATCTCTGCCTCCTGAGTAGCTAGGATTACAGGCATGGGCCACCAATGCCCAGCTAATTCCAGTATTTTAAAGCTAAATTTTTAGACACAGGAATAAGGACCCCTCTATATCACTGCCCAGCCTGCTTTGCTTTCTTCTTCTAACATCTCCCTTCCCACTCCATTTCATGTCTTACCACATTTCTACCACTAGCACTCCAGTGTTTTGAACAAAGATATTTCTGGAAAGAACAGGTTAAACATGAAGAGAAAATTGCCTAGGCCTGACACTTCAAGCAAGTTACCTTCTCTGGGCCTCAGTTCCTCCTCTTTAAAAATACGTCCCCAGCTCTAAAAATCTATGCCAGTTATGAGCACACAGCAGATGCAGCAGCTGAAGATGACTGAAAGCAGATGGGAACATCGGCTCCTTTATCAATAGGGATTTTCTCCTCACTGGGGCACAAGGTAGATAGAGCATCCTAAATGTCTCAATTATTTATCCCAAACTCCCAGAGATAAATCTTTCATTTTATTAGCTGCTAAAACAAAACACTAGAACAGCCACAAAAAGCTTACATACAACCTTACTTTTTTAATAATCAAATAAAATTAAGCCCTTAAATCCCAATAGTCTTCAATAAGGGCTAGTATTATAGGATCGCATGTGCTAACCAATATGTCCTTCTTTGGTAAAGTATTATAATCTTCTGATGAGACATCTGAGTCACTCACTACTTTTACTCATCACCAGCCTAGGACTACAGTAGCAGGAGACTAGTCACAGCAACTAATTGTGAGTCATAGCATCTTACGTCTCAAGGTGCAAGGTCACTTCTGTAGGGTTCAAAAGGTCTTAGTAGTAAAATGTCTTTAAGTTTTTCTCAAACTTCCTCTTAATTTCCAGCATACATCACAATATAAGTAATACAAATAAAAAAATAAAAGATTAAGTCTAGAATACCAAATTTACAGAGTAGAATTAGGATTGTATGTTGATTCATAATGCAGTCTCAGGAAAAATGTTAACTTGATTTTTAATGATCACTCTAAGCTGATCATTGATTTAAGAAAGGGTCAGTTTTTACTTTGAAAAGAAATTAAGTATTTAAAGTGAAAGTCACTTTTAAATATGTAAACCTGCAATTTGAAGGTCAAAAGGCAAAATAATCAGCTATTGCATTGCCTCTTTAAAATCTGAACTTACTAGGCAAGACATACTTTTACCAAGAATTTTTCCACTTACTTTCTTCCCCCACTTTTCTAGAGGAACCATCACTTTCCAGAAGAACACTGCACCAATAGGGAGGCATGAAACAAGTATGGTAAGACAAAGTTAATTATTTATTGGTAGGGGCGAGGGGAAGTGAAAGACACTAAACAGAATGGGAACCTGTTGGTAACAGACACAATGTCTGATTAATTCACTGCTTACAGCTGAGCAATAAAAGATGCATAATCCTATTAATGAAAAATAGCCAAAATGTCCATGTTCAAGGTAAAATTTCTCATTCTAAATATTCTTATAACTAATAAAAAATATTTAGGTAACAAGAAGAGGTAGAGTGGATGGGGTCAAGGTTGGGAGAAAGACTTGTCATGTTTATCTTTTTATAGTATTTCAATTTTTGAACCATGTAAATGTATAACAAAAGCAAACTTAGGTTTAAAAAAGAAACTCTTCTTCATTTTGATGTCGCCAGATATTTGAGCTTCTTTTGTCTAAACTAATTTAATTAATTTACTTTTATTCCTGACAAAGTTATTATTGCAACATCCCAAAAACTGACTTCTCAGATCAGCATACATAGACCTGGTCTAATCCCCCAAGTCCCTAATCTGAGTCCTGAAATTTTCAATTGAGTTTGTTTGATGTTTTTTAAGGCACAGCTCCTGACGGCACTTGCACAAAATAAAGCTCAATTAACACAATACCACTTATTCACTAAATGATGGGTGACTTTTGCCCTCCGAAAAAATAGAGAAACATTAAGGTTAAATGGCTCTTTCTCCTTACTACTTTCCATCTGCTAGAAGCAAAAGCAACATTAAGTTAGGGAAACATGAAATTATAGAAAACTATGGCTCATTTGCAGCTTAGTCATAAGAACATGCAGAAAGCCATGGACTGAAGTCAGCAAAAATGCTAGCAGTACTTCATTTTTGCCCTTTTGATTTTGACTGGCAGGATTATTACGCAGGACAGGTGCCTCATCTAAACTCTCTAACTTGCCCATTTTCATTATGGCTTAAAACTCAACACACAGCTCCAAAAGCAAAATTTAAAAAACTGGTGGAAGAGGCACATACACAAAGGACATCAATGAGAAGTCTCCTTTTCTTAGAGCAGGGTCTATAGGTAACTCAAGGGTCAGCCAGCTACCTAGGAAAACCTGCCCCTCAAATGAAGTTGGGACAATGATCAGGCAAAAAAAGTTCTAAGGAGCTTGCTCAAAGAGATAAAAGTACCACCAAATATAGAAAACCTGATATTCCATAGTAATGTGATTCCTTTTGCTTCCCCCCAGCGAAACAGCTCAATGTAAACCAGAATTGAACAGTCTCCCCAGGACAATCCAGAGTCCCATATTAAATCACATTTTGACACATATTCGAGCACAGTGTTACACACCAGCACACAGAAGAAGGCACAGCACACAGCACAAGAAAACCTCACAGACATGCTTTTTCTCTTTTTTAAGCAAAAAAGAAACTAGAGGGCAAGAGAAAGCTTACCTTCTATATGTGAAAAAAAGAATAAAACAAACAAGAGAACAACAGAAAAAGATACATAAAGAAGTCATAACAGGGAAGTAAAAGTTGTCTAAGTATTTTAAGACCAAATTAATCAAATATCAAAGACTTAAAATGACTACATCATATAGATTTAAAATATAATCTTAGAACATCACATCAATGAGAAGCTACCTCTATAAACAAATCCATAGTTGTAAGCTAATTTATTATGCATAGTTAAATTAGCTTTCTGGGCAAAACGAAAGAGGGCTGATGATTATAGGCTCCAACTTGATCTTACATTATAAATGGTCCTGAAAGACAAACCCAGATCTACTAAGCACCCCCAAAAATTCCCCTCTTTTGTCTGCTAACAGCTTGCTAGATGGCCCTGGAGACATCTGAGTCACACATATGAAAGTTAGATCCTGAAGACAGTGTGTTCCCCTATTGCCTGTATCTCCAATAAAAGATTTAGCCTGAAGAAAAGGCTTCAAACGCCTCAGCCTTCTACCAATATTCACCCTATATACCTATTTATTTGTTTTCTTTGAAACAAGGGAAATTTGCAAGGGTAGCAAACCAATGAAAAAGAAGTGAAGAAGACAGTACCTTCACCATGAGCATGCTTATATTACACACAATTACAAGATAAAATGTGAGACTGATAACAATCAAAATCCCCCAGGAGGGGAGAATTTGGAATTTTTTGTATTCCTCCTCCCATAACATTTACCTTGCTGGCCCAGGCATCTTCATCCCAAGAAGTGAGTTGTAAAACACGAATGATCTCATTAATTTCAGCACTCATCTTTTCTACAGTAAAATTGCGATTTTTTAAAGCTTCTTCTATTCCTTGATTTTTTGAGTTTTTAGTGGTTACAAAAATCTTCATAGCTATAAAAATAAACAAAAGATCAGAAACTAAGTTTGGAATTTAATTTTGTTGTAAAACAATATTCACACATTTTCCACACTTTGAATACATTGCTTGGGGTTCTACAGTCTTAAAAAAGAACATACAAAATAAATGTTGCAAATCTACCAATTAAGTCCCAATATCAGAAACTTTCATTGTAAGAAAACTCAAGGTACAAAATAACACCAGAACATGACTAGGGAACTAATTTAATATACATATACTGATTACCTACAATCATAAAATAGCTAATAACTTCCTAAATTGGTTATCACCCTGGGCCCTATCCAATACAAAGCTAATGGGACAGGATGAAAACCATCAGCAAAACCATGGAGTATCCTGCTGCCCCCAATCCCAGTGGAGCAACCCAAATACCAAGTTTATCTTCTAGGATTTTCCTTACTATACATCAGGGATTTTCTAACTCCCAAAGTAAAGAAAAATATAACAATAATATGGAGTATTGGATAAAGAGAGTATCTTCTCATAAAAAATTAAAAATCTGTAAGCAAAAATTAATTATTTATTCAGTTACTCACATTAAAAAGAAACCATCTTACCAACAACTTCTGCCACACAAAACAGTTGACCCCAAAACATATTTCCAAGTTTAGTGCTGTAGCCCAGACATAAAGCAGTTGCCTAGCATATGCAAGGATCTGGGTTTGACCCTCAGCACAGCAAAACAAAGACAAACTATATATAGATATATAGATTTACATATGTTCCATGCAGATGATAAGATTCTAATTACAAACTTTTGTTTTCTAGGATATATAAGGGCTTTCTGAACTCTTAGATGAACATTTCCATTTTTAGCTACTACCTGAAACACTAAAGCAGGTGAGGGGTCAACAGTAACATGCCTCATAAGACTTTAAAAATAAAGCTGCCCATTGAGAGTTAAAATAATTAACCCATAACTTGACTAAGATAATTACATAAACCATGAGGTGCTAGCTCATACTGACATTTATAAGTGCAAATCCCTTTCGCTAGTTGAAAGAGCAGTGGGAGAAGAGCATCAGAGAAAATGAATACTGGCTTCTCAGCCAATCAGCTGCAGCCAACATGTAACACCCAACCAATCAGATCTCATCTTTACCCAGGCTTAAAGGACATGCATTGAAACAGCAAAACAAAAATGTTAACTTTTCTACCTCTAAGTACAAGAAGAAAATACCTGAAATGAGAACTGGAAGCAACTCTTTGACAGTGTTCATTGAGTTCACCAACATCACTCTGTGCTCCTGGTGAGTCAATTCCTGCTGTCTCTCGTCAATCATCTTGGCCATCTTAGTCATTCCTGCCACACAAGGAATGAATTGTGTAGGATGAATAGTGAAACATGCTAGAGTCTGTCTTTCTCAGCCTAAATCCATTATGAATTACATTCAAAGTCCGAAGTGACTGCCCACTTATTTACACAAGAGACACTATCACTGAACTTCAGCATTTATGCAGTTGTATTCTTTTCAATGAAAGTAATGTAGTAAATGAAAACACTAAGTTATACAATTTCCATATTGACTTATCTACATTCCCAAATATTTAAAAACTGAAATGAATAAATATTAAAAATATGAAATGAAAATAAATAATTTGTAAAAAAAATTAATTCACAAGTGGAGAAAAATATTTTGCCAGGCTACTATGCATATAGGTTTTATACTGTGTGACTGGATGCTGTGTTATGCTATATGAGAATCTCATATAGTCTAGCACTGAATGTAGTAACTGAGAGAAGTTCTAAGAATGACAGTGATGTGCTTTTTCATCTTTATATTTTTCTCTACTTTCCAAATTGGTCCAAAATAAGTATATACCATTTTAAAATCAGAAACAAATAGGAATATTCTAAAAGCAATCTCTACAGGGATGGCAGTGTTTGCAAGCATGGAGTCGTTTGGAATCAATGTGCTAGTATGTCATGTTTACTGTGGCTATTATTCAAAGGTGCTATGTGATTTTCCAAAGCTTTGATTTTTTATTTGCTTCTAGAATTTCTTAAGTTTTTTCTTAGACCATCAAAACCTAAGGAAGGGACAGAGGTGGGACTGCCTCTGCTTCACACAGAGTAGCTTCATTTTGTTGGTTGGGATTTTGCATAAAATTCCATTTGGGGAAATAAATTTATTTACAGTACTATGAGAAAGTTTCAAAAGTACAGGTCGGGGCTGGGGGTATATCTCAGTGGTACAGCACTTGCCAAGTGTGCACAAGGCCCTGTGTTCAATATCCAGCACCACAAAAAAGAAAAAAAAATACACCCCTGTAGCTATCAAAGAAAGTCATTTTCAGATGATCTTCAATAATGGCTCAGAAGCTCTGTTAACTTTACAAAATGACTACACTAGGCCCTGATAAAAATACTGTTAAGTAAAAATCCACATTTCACATAAACAAAAGAACTTTAAAAGCTGATAAGTGTCAAGTTAAGTGCCTACTCTGTCTTTTCATTGGTCTCATTCATACTTTCAGGACTCTCTACAACATCAAAAGCTAGAATCTGTGTATTTTGAATATTCAATACTCAGATGTCTAAATCATTATTTCAAAATGAGATTTAACCACAACAGCTCTTCTCTCCTTCTAGGCCTGATTATATTATGCAGCCTTAGGGTAAGGCATGAATCCATAATAGTATACAGCCTAATTAGCAAGTTAAGAATTCATGAAGAGCTTCAGGCCAGCTGGCAGACAGTGAAGGAATGCCATGTAATATGGAATAGAGAGATCAGGATTGAGGGTGGCCTTCAGCATTACAATACTATAAAAATATTTTCTACATTCTCCAACAACTTTTGCAATGTCTGGTTTCATTCATTTAACAGGGTCAGGATTATAGAAAGCAAACACAGATTTCAGAGACAATGTTGTCTCTTCAGTAGAAGCCCAACATAGTGCCATCAACACAGAAGAGACACCTGAAAGCCCAATGCATCACATATCTTCTGCAAAAAGCTATAGGAAGGAACCTTTCCTCTTGATCCAACACAGACAATTCATTTTAAAAACTGTATTATATAAAAATTAAATATGACTAACCTGGTCCAAGATTCTTTGTATAAGTGACCAAATCTTCCATAGTCTCTACCACCTCTGCCACTGTAAGATATTCCAAAATTCCTTTGCAAACTCTAATAATTTTACGAACCTAAAAATGTATTTCAGAAGATTCAGTCAAGACAGTGAACAACACATAGAAAACATGGCAATGTTTGGCTCTTTAGTTGTTCTAAACAATCATCCAATTATTCTTTAAAACTAGGCTTTTTGTCTGGGAGAGGTCTGCAGAAACCTCAGATTACCTACCTCTGCCTCATCAAAGGTAAGGAGTAGGTCTGATGTGCCAGAGAGGATGCCCCTTGATCCATCGATGAGATAATCCCGAGCAGGCACAGAGTAAGGGTCTGACTGAAGCATCTGTGCTGCCTGAACAAGCTTGGTGCAAGCATTCTCTACCCTGGGTGGGGGAGAGAAAAAAATAGGTTAACTCCCTAGCAGAACCAAACTTAACACCATCAGATGCAAATACAAAGAATATAAATGCGTATAACTTCATATTTTTCTCTATATGGAAAATAGCCAAGACCAACTCAAAATAATACTTAGGTTTTTAGATTTTAAAATCTCCCATTAGTGACGGCATATTCATTCAGTGCACTAAACCTGTGAGTAACTTGTTCTTTGTTATTTCTTGGCAACAAAAAAATGACAAGAACACATTTGGGAACTTTTACTTTAGGTTATAGATATTTGCTATATCTCTGTAGCTCCTTTGTTTCCTTATTCCTCCAACCTTACACACTGTCATTAAAAGACATGGAATAAAGACCTGAAATCCTTGGTAGCATTTTCAGATTTACCATCTGGAAATAAAAATGTCAAAGCATTGTGTGAATGAAATTTAATAACTGGACAAAGCAAAGGAACAGGAAGAAACACAAAGTAAAATTAGAAAGTAAAACACAAATTTCTCATTCATCTAGCTAAATGGACTTGTTTGACAAATTCACAGGCCTGTTTGAAAACAGCCCTATAAAACTATATTGTTAATTGAAAAATCACGGGGATCACTAGCATTCATAGCTGAACCAGTTTAATATATAAATATAGATTAAAATAGACCAACAGATCAGCCAAGGGTTTGGGTGGTAGGGGTGGGGAGAATTCATTTACAAGAGAAACCCAAAAATATGAAACAAGAATTCTTCTTGAACCTCTTGCACTAGTACTCCTTTATTCAATTATTTATCCATACAGAGTTGAAAAGAAACTAACAGATCCACTGCTCTAATCTTATATTCAATATACCCATTGTTATTCTAATTTTAAACAAAAGGAGTAAGTTACTTAAAGTTAAAATTCTTACCCAATATTATATATTCTCATTTTAAAACACAGAAAATGGGGGGCATAGTAGTCTATGCCAATATACCTGAAATCCCAGCTACTCAAGAGGGGGAGGCAGGAGGATCACCAATTCAAGAGCAGCCTGGGCAAAGTTAACAGACCCTATCTGGAAAAAAAAAAAAAAACAAAAAAACATGGCTGGGCCTGTACAGCTATCCTTATCTCAACCAGCAAAAACCCTTGTTCCTTCCTATTATTGCTTATACTCTCTCTACAACAAAATTAGAATTAAGGGCAAAATAGTTTCTGCTGGGTATTGGTGGGGGGAGAGGGAGGGGGCGGAGTGGGTGGTAAGGGAGGGGGTGGGGGCAGGGGGGAGAAATGACCCAAGCCTTGTGTGCACATATGAATAATAAAAGAAAAATGAAAAAAAAAACATGGCTGGGGCATGGCGCAAGAGGAAGAGCCTTGAGGCCCTGGGTTCAATGCCTAATACCAGCTGGGGTGGGGGGTGGTGATCCCTACCTCATAGGGTTAAGGAACAAATGAAACAATACAAAAACTCCAAAAGTACAAAGCAGTGTTATCTTGTTAAAAAAAAAGAATTAAACCAATATAAGAATTCCAACTACATAAAAAACACTGGACTATGGAAATAGCAGGTATCTATAGAGAGATGTAAAAAGCCACTATGTAACTCTCAAAACACACTTTACTAAGCTAAAACACAAACACTGATGTCAAATTATCAGTGAAGGGCAAGACCTGTTTGATGTGGCTTTTTATCATTCTTAAGGGACTAGAGGCTTTGTTCTTTTTAATTTTTAAATAACAACTTTAGGACTTTTAAAATTACTATAATATGTATATTCACATATATTACCAAACACATGTATACATTTAAAACTAAAAGGACATATAGTGCAAAAAAATCTCCTTCCTTCCACTGTCTTGCAGGCACTCAAGTTCAATCCCACTTGAAACAATGTTGAGTTTCCTTCAATGTCTTATTTTCTCTGTATGAAAATGTCTTCATTAGACATTTTAGGCAGACAGAAACAAAAATGTAAATCCCTTCCCTTTACACAAATAGGATCATACTATGCATATTCTGCCTTCTGCTTTTTTCTAACTTGCAGAAATTATATTAAAAGCACATAAAGAGCCACTTCATTCTTTTATACAATAATGTAATAGTTCATAATTTATTAGCCTGCTACAAAACCACCTTTGAATAGTCATCATTTTACCTAAAAAATGGAATATGAGTCAAAGGTATGGGCATTTGTAATTTTAACAAACACTGCCATAGTACAGTTGGCAGAAATTATCCTAGTTCACATTTCCAATGGATGAGAGCACAGAAACCATCCTTACTGTCTCATCAATTCAGTGTGTGCTCAAACTTTGGAACAGCATCAATGATATGCCAGATTTTCACAGAAGCGAAACTCACGTAACATTACAACCATTCGCATAACACTTTCAAGGGTGCAATTCAGTAGCACTTCATATTCACAATGCTGTTTAGTCACCACCTCTCTCTAGTCAAAACTCTGTCATCTCAGTAAGACACCCAGTACACATCACTCCCCTATCACTTCTACCCCCATCCACGGATAAACATTCATCTGCTTCCTTTCTCAATGACTTTGCCCACATGTCACAGAAATGGTTCATACACCACTGTAACCTTTCTTGTCTGGCTTTCTTTCATTTAGCTTAATGATTTCAAGGTTCATGCAAGTTGTAACCTTTATCAGAAAACCCATTCCTTTTTATAGCTGAATAATATTCCATGCATGTATATGGCCACAATGCTTTACCTATTCACATTACTGATGCTTGCAGCTTTTGGCAATTATGAATAATGCTGTTAAAAATATTCATGTACAATTTTCTGTGTGGACAGATGTTTACATTTCTCTTGAATATATACCAGAAGGGGAGTTGCTGGTTAGCATGATAATTCTATGATTATCTTTTTGAGAAACTTCCCAACTGTTTTCCAGTGATGTACTTTTTTTTTTTTTCTTTTGTAGTACTGGGTTTTATCTCAGGGCATACACCTTGAGGCACTCCACCAGCCCTTTCTATAAAGGATTTTTTTGAGATAAGGTCTCATGAACTATTTGCCCGAGCTGCCTTGAACCGCAATCCTCCTGATCTCTGCCTCCCACAGTAGCTAGGATACAGGCATGAGCCACCAGCACCTGGCTAAAAAAGGTCTTAATCCCATCTCAACCCATAAAAGTTGAGCATGGTAGTGACTGCCTGTCATGCAAGTGACATGAGAAGCGTAAAAAGGAGGATTGCAAACCAGATCAGCTAGGGCATAAATGCAAGAAAGCATTTAAAAAATAATTAAAAGCAAAAAGGGTTGGAGGTATGATTTAAGTGGTAGAGTACTTGCCTGCCAAGCACAAGGCCCTGAGTTCAAACCCCAGTACCAAAAAAAACCAAAACACGTGTGTGTGTATGTGTGTGTGTGTGTGTGTGTGTGTGTGTAATATTCTACTTTACCAGAGAATACCAAACTGGTTTTCACAATGATGATACCAATTTAATACTTCCACCAGCAGTTCACAATTAGCTCTCAATATCTAAACTTTTAGTTTATGGGTTTCCATGGGTTTAATATTATAGCATTTTTTATTATATTTTCATTATGATTTCTCTGACAATGGAATTATTAGGAAATTTTCAAATATAATTTTAAATATAAAGAGCACTTCTAGTTATCTTCTCATTGATTTCTCAAATGCATTGTGTCAGAGGATGTGCTAAGATGGAATTTTGAAATGTGTTCAGGCTAACTTAATGGCTTAACATGAGATCGATTCTTACAAATTTTCTATGTGTGCTTGAAAAGAATACAATTCAATTATTAGGTGAACTATTTTACACATTCCATTAGCCGTAAGTTTGTTGATTTTAATTTAAAATCTTCCATCTTTTTTGGGTCTGTCTTATTAATTATGGACTGTTAAAATCTCCCACAAACTGGGCGTCGTGACGAGCAACTGTCATCCTTAGCTATGTGGGAGGCTGAGATGTGGAAGATCACAGTGCAGGCCAGCCTGGGCAAAAAAGTTTGTCAAACCCTATCCCAATGAAGGAAAAATTGTATGGTGGTTTGTGCCTGTCATCCCAGCAATGGCAGGAAGCATAAAATAGGGGGATCATGACGCAGTCAAGCCTGGACAAAAATCAAGACCATCTCCAAAATAACCAGAGTCCAATGAAGGCTGGAAGCATAGCTCAAGCAGTAGAGCCTGAAGCCGAGTTCAAAAGCCCAGTACTGCCCTCACCCCAAAAAAAAAATCCCCCCCATAACAATGGATTTGTCCATAATTTCTCTTATTTTCCTTTTGTCTTGCTACCTTTGAGCTACATTAGAAGCTGTATTATAGTTTTATATCTTTCTGGTAACCTGTACCTATTATAGTATCTCTCCTTATATCTAGTATGTTTTTGCCAAAATATCTTTTTGGCAAACCAGTTTCTTTATTTTATTTGGTCTCTGTCCTTATGTTTTAGGATTATCTTTAAAAAAATACCTTGTAGCAGGGTCTGGGGATGTCGCTCAGTGGTA